AAAGAAAATGGATGGATGGTTCAAAACTAACTCTGAACATGTGGAGATTTTAGCTTCCATTTAAAGAAAGTCAGTGTTTCAGCTGTTTTTCTGTAAGTTTTTTTTTTCCAGATCTGTGGTGCATTGATTCAATAAGAATTGAAAGATTCAATATGAAATCTGTCAAATTTATGAAATTAAAGTCGGATTCTCTTTCATCTGAGAATTCTGACTTTTTTCCCAGATTTGATTCCTTTCTCAGAATTCTGACTTTTTTCCCAGATTTCAGATTCTTTTCTCAGAATTCAGAATTTTTTTTCTCAGAATTCAGAATTTTTTCTCAAAATTTCTCTTTAATCTCAAAGCATCTTAGTCATTTATTTTCTTTTCATGTTGTTTACATGCATAAATATCCATACCCTCTTAAACTCAGAGTGATTTTCAGAGAACTCGTCATTTTTCCTTTGCTATCTGCAAGGCTAAAGGTTCCCAAACCTAAACAGGAAAATCAAGACCATCACTTTAAAATGTCAATAACTCGTCCTACCGGTTAACACCTCCACTCTGCTTTATTTCTGTCCTTTCTTATGAATAATTGTGTGTGTGGTTACAGGATGAGGTTCAGGTTTCCTAGAGCCCAGCGACTCATTTCCAGTCGGTTTGTAAACATCTTTCAGTTTTCTCTTTCGTCGCAGCGGCAGCAGCTTGAACTGGGCCAAGTCTGAGCTTGAGCAGAGACAAAAACGCGCGCGGTGTTTCCAGCGGAGCAGAACATGAGGGTAAAACAGGGGTTTGTGTTGGCTGCACGTCTCACACGGCGGAAACGGCCTTTCCTCACACAACCTGATCCGGATTCTGACACATGATTCCCAAATGCACAGTTTGCTGAGTTTTACAGACATAACATTGAATTTTAGCACCAATAAGTTGTTTCCCTCATATTCATGTTAACTGAATATGAGGGATCAGTGGAAGGATGATGCATCACTTTGGTAAAATTAATTCAAATTTTAATTATTGTAATTTAGTTGTACATTATCCTGTTATCATCAGGATTCTAGTCCTTATGTTTGAGCCTGAAAAAGCATTTCAGTAAAACCTCAAACTTTGCTGCTTGTCACAACCGCTTTTCTACAGAAGAGGATCAAGAGCACTAAAAAAAACTGTCTTTAATTCTGAATTTTTTTTCTCAGAATTCTGACTTTTTCCTCCAAATTTCTACATTTAATCTCAGAAATCTGACTTTAATTTCAGAATTCTGCCTTCAATCTCAGAAGATCTCAGTCTGAACTCAGAGTAAAAGTCATCTTCTTCTTCTTTGGTCCTAATCCTCTCCTGTACATTTCTTTGCAGATGATTTTGAGTAGATTAGAGAACGGTTAAACCATCAGTTGTGATAATGTGAGCATGAAACGTCAACAAGGTGAAAACAAACGGATAACAGTTGGAAGGAAGCATCCATTGCGCCGTGGCGTCATTTAAAGTTCAAAAGCCTGAGTTGGCATCGGGTCAGAATGGACCGACACTCAATGGGTGCGTTCACACTGCAGCCTGAAGTGACCCAATTCCGATTTTTTTGCCGGGGCCGTTCACACTGCCAGTAAATGCGACCTGTATGCGATCTGCAGTCTGAACAGGCAAACGACCTGAAAGTGTCCCGCATGCGCAGTAGAGGGCGCAATAGCGTCAGCATTCTAAGTGTTCTGCCAACCGCCATAAAAAGAAGAAGTGCTCAGTGGAGGCTAACGGTGGAGCTTAGCCTACATATTTGAAGTTGTTGTCCGACCGGAGCAGCATATTAACAACTTAATCCTGATATTGTCCGTCATGGTTGTTGTTTTTCTTCCCACTTGCGCGTATCAGGACGCAGAACAGTGAGATTTGTTGAGAATCAGTGACGTTCAGTTCGGATGAATGCGGCCTGGACGTCATGGTCGCATTTGAATCGGATACGTATCGGATATGGGTCACATTCGAAAAAGAATCTGACCTGTGCTGTTCACACTGCCATGAAAAGATCGGATACAGGTCCCATTACGTCAAAAACATCAGAATTGGGTCACTTCAGGCTGCAGTGTGGACGCACCCATTATGTCGGATCCGAGCTTTTCATAAACACTTAAACATAATTCATTGCCAACCAGTCTTTAGCATATCACATCTCAGTTGTCCTAGCGATTTTACTATGTGCAAATCTAACACCTGATCCAGATTTTAAATGGCTGATGTGTAATAATGGAAAACAGATAACATTTAAAACAACGTGGGTTAACTGTAATCATCACTGTAATTTCATGGCTTCCCCGCATCGTGTTGCGCTAATTAGACCTGCTGCAGGAAAACTCTTCTTCTGCGTTCACTTTCTCCACAACACGCTGAATCGTTGCGACTGGCCAACAACCTTTGTGTCGACAGGGTTGTTTATCCGCAGCCGTGCTGGAAAAGCTGCATTCCTCAGCTGTCAGGTACGGTGCACACCTTGGCTTTTTATCGCCAAGCTCTAAAACCGTTCGTTAAGAGTTTCTTTGAACTTAGACCAACAGTTGTTGCTACAATACATTTTTTCTTTTCAGAGGTCATAGAGGAGGATAAAGCCAGAATGACTTCTGTTTTTTATCTGCATTTGCAGATTACCGGAGTTGCTTGTTAAATAAATCAGAAGTTATCAGTTAAATCATAAATTTACCTCTTATACCTCCAAATAAACCAATGGAAATTCAACATAATGCAGCAGTACTAAAGTAATCTTTACCACTGTGAGAGGCTAGAGCTGGCAGTCAACCAACAACCTACTGATTATAATGTCTGATAAAATATTTTCAGGTTAAATCATGATAAAGATTTAAAAGTTTTTACCCCCACCGTCACCTTGACACCCTCTAATAAAGATGTGTAAAGTAAATTTATCTAAAAATCCAACGCATTAAAGCTTGAGGTGAAGATAGAAGAAGAAATAAAAACATGAAGTTGATGTGGACTCAGTTTATCCAGCTGATGTTTTTCTTTTTGCACCATTTTCATTCATGTACTCATTCTTAACCGTTTCACTGAAATGTTTAAATCACAATAGTTCAATTATGCTTTGGCAGTAATTTGTGGTGTGATTCAGACATTTATGCACTTTCCTCAATCTGACAGTGGAACTGACCGCATTATCATATTTTCTGATTTTTTTTCACAAATCATTATTTGACCACTTGAAGGCAATTGTAGAGCCATAAAATTTCATTTCTAGATGCTAATTTCTGACTTACATAGAAAAAAAATGTAAAAATAAAAGGAGACAGCAACATCAGGGCAAAAGTAACATAAAATGTTACAATGTGATTTCCACAGCCCTGATCCAGATACATGGCAATATTCAGAACAAGAATGTAGGAAACAAGAAGGACTTGATGCTCTGTTAGCATCAAGCCTCTTCTTTCTGTCATATTTTTAATCCATGTTTTGTTTCATATTCCAGCATATTTGGTAAGTTAGGAACTCGGTTGACATCTTTTGGAAGTTGAGGATTGCACTATTTGCTTGGCTTTGGGATTCAGAACTATGTTCAGATTTTGGTTTGTATGTTTATTTTTGATATTGAAGGTTTACATACATGTTTAAATACATAATTAAAGATCAAAAATAGATTAGTTCTTAGTGGAATATATATGGTTCTCCATGTTTGATTCTTGTTCTGGTTGTTAAGTAGATGGTAAATTTGTTGTAGATTTGTAAACTAACGGGTTTCTCCAGGTCTCCGGTGTTAAAAGTATAAATGTTGGTTGGTTCTCCATGTTTGATTATAAAACTAAATGTTGGTTCCAGTTGTTCAGTTTTCATCTCCCCAAAGTGCTTCACCTGGAATTTCAGCCATTTCTCCGGTAAAGTTCTAGATTTGTACAACATGAAGCTAAATGTTGGTTCTCCATGTTCGATTCCTGTTCTGTTGTCGCTATGTAATCCATGATTTATAAACTAAGTTTAAGGAATTAAGAAGCTCCTGTATCTTGCCAGAAAGTTGCTTGTGAATTACTTTTGACTTATTTCTTGCGAACTGAGATATTTGCACAAGAAACACTATTAAATTTTGTGAGTGAATTTTAGAGGTCAGAAGCAAATATTGTTAAATATTTAGCCCCTTTCAAAGGACATATGTGTGTGAATTAACCCACTGGGGATAAAAACTGCTACTAAACAGTACCGTTTATCCACGCCCGCCATAATATTCCTTTCAGTTGCAACCATCTGCCGTGCAGAAAACATAGATTTCACTAAAATATTTAGAACTTGGTATCCTGTGACCATCAGAGGAAGCTGATGAAGCTTCCCGATCCAATTAAAAACGAGAAAACATCAGCAATCGAGCGTCGTCTTTGCGGGCAGTGATGTGAAGTGGCCATTAGAGCTTGATTAAAAACAGCGGGCTTCGACCTTGACCCATCCCTGCCTCCATCACACCAGCAGACACATGTGGAGAAGTCCCCAAAAGATGCTTAAAGATAAAAGAGAATCGACCCGTCAGCCGTATGTACAGAGGCTGCAGATCTGAAAGGAGAAGAGCCATGAAAAATGGATGAGAGAAGAAATCCACTTCACCTCCCCCCCTGGAGGCTGGTGCACCCCCCACAGTGCTCCCACTCATAATCCTCTCTCCTTCTACACACATGCACACTCCTCACCCGGCGCATGCGGTGTGTGCAAACAGAAAGACAAGGTAGGCACACGCAGCCCCAGGCCCTGTGGTAGGTGTTAGGATTCAGGGGATGCACCAGTTTGCTGCTAATATTAGTGTTTCGTGACTTTACAGATATGATGGGATAAAGCTGAGGCTCATTAAAGACGATAAAATCTGAAGTTATTAGAAACATGTTCTTATGCAGCTTTAATAGATAAAAAAAAGATTAAATTCTTTGAAAAATGCTTTGGTCTTTATTTGATTTAATTTATTTCAATCAAGCAATCAGTAGGACAGAGAAAACATGTGTATATGTAACCAAGAACAAAATGATTTGTTTACCACTACTTTTCTGTTTGACAAGGTGTAGGAAGAAGTGAATATTTATTTAATCCTACCCCTTATTTCAATTTAATGAAATATAATTCTTACCAATTCAATAAACCAAAAATTTGTAATTGAAACCATGTTATAATATTCATGTACCTAGATTGGGCTAAAGAGACAACAAATAAATTATATTACATAGACAAAATGGTCACAAACTAACTCGTAGCAAGACAAGAAAATCTATGGATAATAATAATAGTAATAATGAGAATTGTAATTAACAACCAGACATACAACAATAATTACCAACCCCTTGTCAATGTACACCTAGAAATTATTATTAATCTGTGTTATATAACAATAAATAAAAATAAAAAACAGAGAAAAATAAAACTAATGATAGTAAGATAAAAAAATAAGCTACCAATAACATAATAGTAGCACAGAGAAACTCATCTTTGTGTTAATTTGCATATCATTTTTACCATGACATGAGAATAATACTTCATAAAGCTGAATTTCCCATCAGTCACGAAAGAAATGTTTAACAATTTCTTTAAATAATGAAGTTTTACCAGGAAATTTTAACAAATAATTTCGATTTTACGTAATGCCAGTGTTGTAGTTGGCCGCCATCCAGAAGAGGGCGCCGCTGGTCATCTTTAAACGGTGCCGTTGATAGAAACAAGATGGCGGAGTCATACCAGAACGGGAAGGAGAAACGGTCTCAACAAATTCCGGTGTGGGATGCAAAATGCGCTTTATGCAGGTCTGTTTTGAAATATAAACACTTGTCAAGTTTTTCTATGTAAATGTGTGTTTTTTACCTATAAAATAAACAAATAACTAAAAACTGATTGGTTAGTTCCAGGAGCAGAAATCTTTCTGAAACTTACAGAAATAATCTGTGGTGACTGCTATAAAAGTTGATTAAGAAAATAAGAAGTTAAGGATACAATTTCTTTGCCTAAAAGCCAGTTTAAGTAACTTTTTTTAAATAATGTTTTTTTTTAAACGTCTTTTTTATTTCAGCTGCTGATGATGATTATTTTAGTAACCAAAACAAACTTTTGTCTTCATTGTAATGACAAGGTATCAACATTTAGCTCTCCTTTCTTATAAACATTCCTGAAAAATGACTAGGGTTAATTCAATAAAACGATGTGCTTTATACAATGCTCTTATTTTGAAATGTATCCGGATGTTCTCTGTTAAGCCAGGCGGGAGGAGAAGCTATGGAGACGCTGCTAACGTCGGAAGGGCTAACACAACCTGCCTGCCTGCCGCTATTATATTGAAGAAAAACCATAACTATCTGGACCTATATAGTATGTTTATAAACAACCTAAGTTATAGATATAATATCCTTCGTTTTCGTGTTTTTGACTTTATTTTTCGAACTGACGTGAACCAGTTTACGTCAGCTGTCGGCAAATTACGGCCCTCCAGGCTAGTCCAGGGGAAAAATGGCTACAGCGAAAGTTGGGAGAAAACACCAGTCAGTTGGTTGTTCAACAATAATTTAATACATTTTTGAAAAGATGAACCTGCTGTTGAGTATTTATGACCCAATCAGTTTATACATAATCAGAGTACAATACTTTTTGAATCATGCACCTAAAAATTAACCAAAGTATGAAAAAACTAAAACTACTGTTATAACTAATAAAAGCTAAACTAAAGATGAACATTAGCTAATAAAAACTAGCAAGCACACTTTTGAAACTAAATGAATTAGGCAAACTGTAAAGACAAACCCAAAACTTGTCACAACCCTGTCACTGACACATCATCTCCCTCACTACCTAAGATCCTTCATTAAGTGCGATCCGCCTTAAGCCTACTTACATGCGCCTGTGAAACGTTCCAGTCCAAGCGTCTGCAGCGGCTCAGGCTATCTGCAGCATCCTTTGGGGCCTATCTGACGTTTGGCAGTCGGCTGATGAGAGCGAGACAGTGACATGCAGAGAGAAGGGAGGGCGGCTGTCACCTCCTCTTTGATTGGCAGCTTCTCATCCTGCACAGGGACATCCGGAAAAATATCACCTACGATTGGATTCTACTGTAGAGAATGACATATTTTAAGAATCTATGCCAGTGGTGTGCAAACTTTTTGCCAAAATCCTGAAGTTGAAAGTCCTCAAGGACCAAAATTAAGATTTTCTCTCCATTAAAAAACACCAAAATAGTGTTACTGTGAATTATATCAGCTGAAACACTGAGTTCCTTTAAACCAAAACCCACCTGTTTAGTTGAACCATAATAAATGAAACATTGACCAACATATTTGGCGTGTATGATCACATCAAAATGTAACGTTTGTTAAATCGTTGACTGTTTTTATTATGTAAAGCCCCTTGCTGCTGAAATGTGCTTTACAAATAAACTTGATTCTTACATAAACCAACATTAGTATGACATTTTCCTCAATGTTTACATTTATTTAACTTTTTTGAACCAATCGTTTTCTATTTTCTTGGTCTCTTGACTGAGTTCATTTCCAGCAACAAAAATTATAATTTTGTTTTAAAACCTTCAGTGTGTTTAGTCCCAGTGAGTTTCTGAGTAAACATTGCTGGATATTTGAGGCATCAAATAAAAATAAAAGAAAAAATTCATTAATTTGTTCATTTTCTATTTCAGATATTAACTTATCATGGATTTTTCATCTTTAAGAATTACGAAAAGTGTCCATCTGCATCCGATTAACATACTTGAGGGTCATATTTGCACCAATTTTAACTGTAATCAGGAGCCACAAATGGCCTTTAAAAGCTAACTGGAGTTTTTCCTTTATGTTTTTACATAAATTAGTTTGTTATATAGACTGCAGTGTTTTCTTGTAGATGGTACAATGTCGGCCTCCTAAAGGTGCAGATTTGACTCTTTCTGGGTCTGAATATTTTCTTGTCTGCAAAAGTGGTGTATTTTCTTGTCACCTCTCATTTGAACTTTTACTGCGTCTCTTATATGCTAAACAGGGAACACGGTTGCCACAAAAGGGTGTGCTCGGGGCAGTGGGTGGCTCTGGTGGTAGTCAACACGCATCATGGGTAGATTCTAGTCACTGATGCGGTTCTGGGTTTAAGTTCTGGTCTCGGATCATTTGCTGCATGTCTTCTCCTTCTCTCTCCACCCTATTTACTGCTCAATAAACACCACTGTGGTGCTAAAACTTTTAAACAACAAAGGGTGTTCTTGTTCTGCAGCAGTGAGGGTTAAAGCTACCAAGACCCGGGAACATTTCTCAAACAGCTCACACCTCCAGCGAACCCACATGCACAACAAGCTGCCAAGACGTATCCGACGTCTTTCTGTCAGAACTAGCATTAGCTTCTTTAGCAACTGAGCTGCACTGGCTCATCTGTGATCCGTTAGCCTTGACCAGTCATGTTTCCAGTTCAACACTGTTTCTTCATTGGACTGTTTTTGATAGATATTCAACCACTAGAGCTGCAATTTTGGAAACATTCTGACCCAGAAGTTGAAGCATCTTGGTCCTTGTAAAACTCACTCTGATCCGCATGCGGGCCCATTTCCTGCTTCTAACACATAAACTTTAAACTTCAGCGCTGCCTGATGTATCCCTCATAAGCCTTAAAGCCCTAATCTGATTCCTTCATGCTATAGTTCTTGTCAATGTGGCTAAATAATTGAATTTTTATTTACTGGAGTTTTGTCTTGGTCCCGGATGATGTGAATATGTTTCTGCAGGTTTCAGTTCCTGGTTTGTTTCTGAACTTCTCAGGTGAACAGTTTGGTTCAGACGGGATTTGGTTCAAATCCTGAATTTGTTAATCCTGGAATGACCTGACCTTAATATTCCAGAAAATATCGGAGCATCAATACATTTAAATTGGCTCAACTATTTTTATTTTTTTAGAAGAAAAACAGTCAAAGGTTCAGAGAGGATTATAGTTGAAGCTTAATTGGCCAAAATTCAGCGTGACAAGGATAACCAACATGCAAAATGGTAAAATTGATGCCATTATAATGGAATATTTTAACCGAAAACCTATTTAAATACTGTTTCAGAAAAAATATATATTTTCATGGGGATAAAAACTTAGAGTTGGATGTTTACCTTTCTGCAGCGTCCTACGTGCGTAAAGGAGCATTATAGCAGATCCTTCCTCCCAGTAGCTGTTAGACTTTATAACTTGCTGCTCTCTAATTAATGCTGCTGTCTGCAAATAACCTCCCAGCTTTTATTTCCACATTTTTCAATGCTTTGATTTAACTTGTAAATTAACCTGCTGTTGCTTTCTACGCACAAATATTAATATTGACTCTGAAATCTCTTATTCTCAATTTTTTTCTGCTTTATTTACTCCTTAGTTTAGTTATCTTCATCTATTTTAACTGTCAATATAAAGCAATTCTCATTCCTAAAATAAACTTAAAAACGATTTAAAATCTTAACCATTTTTATTATAAAAATACATTTAGCTTGCATTCAGACTCATGTTGATGTAGACAGATAAATAATCTGCATTTTCTATTTTATTATAAGCACAATTAAGTTTTTATTTGATAAATAGTTGCAAACCGTTATGGGACAATTTAAAAGAAAATGTCTTTTGATGGAAACTTACTTATAAATAATGTAATATTAACTTATAATCGGTCTGCTTTTCGTGTCCAGCTGCTTGCAGTTGTCTAAATCCACTGAAATTATGTAAAAATTGTGCAGATTGTTTAATTTTATAGTTTTGTGATATTTCCAGGTAGAATTGAGCATTTCTGCATTTTTAAAATCAGCTGTTTTGTTTCCTTTTAGATTTCTTTCAATGTTGTCGCGTTTTTAAAGTGCAAAATAAAACAGACTGCTGTGTTAATAAAAATAATCAGTGTTATTCATTTCACCTGTCAGTGGTCATAATGGAATCACGTATGTCTTAAAGTTGCATGGACAGTAGAGGGCGCTCTAAACTGCTGCAACTCCATTGCTTGTAAGCGCTGGTTTTTAAGGGGCAATTTGACCTTTTAACGCTAATTAATCGCTTAGAAAATATATAATTTTAAGTTAAATTGCAATAAATTAAAGAGTTTCAACAAATATATTAGTAGACTATCATACTATGCTATGGGCTATTCATTTTATATTGTCATAATCATCTAAAATAACTTATATCAACTTGTTTTAGTTCATGAACTAAAAGAAATGTGACGCCTTTGCAGCAGCGTTTAATTAAAGTCGAGCCCCGCTTTGTTTGCGCGCCGTCTAAAGTGAAGCTCAATAGAACAGAAATCCAAGTTTTGTGAGGAGGAGGAGGAGGTACAGGAGGAGAAGAAGAGAAGGAGGAGGAAGAGGAGGAGGAGGAGGGGGGGTTTATTATACTATTGTCCGCCCCCTAATCCGGTTGGCTCAGAGACTGCCTGCAGGCCAATTTGTAAATGGTTTGCGGAGCTGCCAATCAAAGCAGACATCCTCTCCTCAGGCTGTGACTGCGAAACATCTCAGTTGCTGTGTGGAGAGATTTGACGGAGGGACGCTGCCGTGCGTGGAGCCATCAGTGCGCCGCAATCCGTAATGCCTCGGTGAGGATCTGCCACGGCGGAGAGGACGGCAGCGCATGTGAAATATTGTGGATTTGCATGTCAGCAGAGGAGGGACTGGTCGCCGGCTCCGCGGCTGTTTGTCCGTTTCTTATCGCTTCTCTGTCCTCCCTCCCTCCCTCACATGTCACTCTAATTAATCGGAGGCATGTGGAACCGCACCAGGATTAGGAATTGCCTCCCAATAGTGTGCCTGCTGTTGACGTTATGGACGAAGGTAAGGAGACTCTGATTTTATCCCCCCTCCCCTGCACACAGGCACGCTCTTTTTGGGGAAAAAAAATATATATATTCCTCTGTAAATAAATTAAACGAGATGAAACTTGGTGGGCGTGGGTTTGAGATGGATTTGCTGCATATTCGCGTCACATTAATCGATAATTGAATTGCGTAGCCCTTCAGTTGTGGAGCATGTGATCGTGTTACCATGACAAGACTCCGGTCCGGGGAGCTGGTAGCGGCTGCTCTCCGTGTTCCTCTCGGATTCTCCCTCTTAATCTCAGTTATTTGCGGGTGACAATGAGGCCCGGACGGAACAAGTTGGAAGTTGCATCGCGGTTGAGGTTTGCAGCCGCGGTTAATGGAGCTGCTGGTGTGAAATCCCTGCATGCAAAGTGTCGCCGCACAAGTTGGAAGTTGCTGCTTTGCATCAATTGGCCGCTGCGGTGGATAATTTGCGTGCTCACCTGCTTCATTCATGCTGAGATGGGGGGGGAGAAGCCTCATTATTGCCCTTAATTTGGACCCAGTGAGACCAGTTATGCATCTGGCGCCACCAAGGGGGGCTTATAAATGTCCTGACCCCAATCTAGACGCACAACCTATATGGAAATAAATGGAACCAGTATGAATCTAGCAGATGAGAAGACAAGTTTGGATAATATGTTCGCTGGGATGAGCAATCATCAACCCACACCTGGTTTTAGTGCCCCACAAATTACTCTGTATGCCCAATAAACTGAGGTTTTGATTTATTTGTGTGGTATTAACGTTTTATTTATGAGATTGTTGTGAAAGCCTTTGTGTAAATTGAAGCAACTGGAAGGATGAAAGCTCCCAGTTTGGCCACCTGCCTGAGTTTAGACCAATATTGCCACCCAAGTGGTGCCAACCTGTATAAATTTCCTGCCCCACCTCTGGCTCTGCGCTCCTGTGTCCATGTTTTTTATGAGTGTTCTCTGTAATTATCACCGTCTGAACACTTAAGCTACAAGTCCTGTCAAACCACTTTAAACATTCATGTCTAGTACCGATACTATTTATATAAATGAATAAAAATCAGCTTTTGCGTCTTTCCCATGATCTGATTGCACCGTGACAACTTTCTAGACGCGACTGCTTTTTTTTAGCTGCACAAATGCTATTGTGGTCTGTTTTTTTTAATTCTCTAAAGGAGTGAAGAGGGGGGCGCCACCCCACTGCATTTAATTTTGGCCTCGTTGTTTCCAGGTGTCCCAGTCAACCGGCTATTTTGAGCTGCAGCTGATCTCCGTGGAGAATGTGAACGGCGAGCTGGCGGACGGGGAGTGCTGCGACGGCCCCAGGAGTCCCCAGGACCTGCGCTGCACCCGGGACGAGTGCGACACCTACCTGAGAGTGTGCCTGAAGGAGTACCAGATGGAGGTCACCACCACCGGGGCCTGCACCTTCGGAGCCGGAGCTACGCCGGTCCTCGGCGGGAATACGTTTTCTTTCCAGGCCGCCAAGAACAACGCGAAGAGCGACGAAGCCGGAAAGATCGTGATTCCCTTCCAGTTCGCCTGGCTGGTGAGTGAGCTTCTCCTGACACCTTTATTTTTAAGAAGTGTCATTTGTGCACACCTGAAGCGAAATCACACTTCACTCTGAAGTGGATTTATTTTTAGATGGCTGGATAAATGGATTCTTTCCAAATGTTGGTTATTTTCTGAATTTCAAAACCAGTTGGAGCATCAAATGTCTGTGTGCACATTCTCATGTTTACTGGATAATTTCCAATAGAGACTACTTATCAAAAAAATGCATTGTTGTGGCTAAATGCATTTTTATTTGAAGTTGAAAATGCATGCACCTTCTCTGGATGTTTAGTCATGAATTTCAGCAACATTAAACTCAGTTTGCACCATGAGATTGATGCCAAAAGTGGATATCAAGTGTTTGGTTGAGAAACGATTTGATTTCAGGAACAGACGACATTTGATGAACTATTGCAAGCTTCGTTGCATGTTTGTTGGATAATTTCTAATTTATTCCTTCAATGGCGACTGCATATCCAAAAAAACATCTGCATTTTGCAGTTGAAAATTTATTTTGGAGTTGAAAATCCATGCACCTTCTTGAGATGCTTAGTCATTTTTAAGTTGACCAAAAGCTGAATTTTCATTAATTTTAGCTACATTAAACTCATTTTACACCATGAGATTGATGCCAAATGTCTCCTCGATGTGGATATCAACTGTCTGATTTTGATTGATTTTGTTTTGCTGGAGAAACAATGTTTGGATGTTTAAGTGTAGGACTATTGTAAGCTTTGTTGCTGTGTTTTTGCATATTTTAAACTTGCCCCTATATGGGCAAATAAAACTCTCAGGGTTGTTCCGGTTCACCAGTTTGCACCTGCTGGGGCCATGATGGAGCAATCAGAAAGTGTTTTCCTACTGAGATCTTTATCAAAGCGGGGAACTACAAGCTCTGTGGAGAAACTGTCACGTCGACGCATTTTTTTTCTTTTACTTCCACGTTCAGGAGGACCCAACCGTATTTCACTCCAAATAAAAGACAGTTTTTTTTTTTTACTACTCATTTTGTTTTATATGCAAAGCAGGAGCAAACTGACGAGCTTTCACAGGTGTGTGAGAGTGAGGTGCGCCTGCTGTTAGGTGTTGGATGCCCCATTTAATAAACCAGGAAGAAAAAAGCATGATGAATGGCTGACATTATCCCATAAAGTTGAATCATGCGTTCAGCTGAAGTGAGCGATGCCTGCCGGCGGTGGTTCTGGCTGGTTTTGACACCTCTCCTCCCCCCGCTCCTCTCTCCTGCTGAGGGTGCCAGGTGGCCCCTGGTGGCCCCTTCAGGGCAATTAAGCTTGTTTGACTGTGGATGAGTGATAGCTGATGATCTTGGCTCAGGGAGACGACATGAATCTACGCTTCGTAGCTGCAGATTTGTTACGTTTTTAAAGCTACTTATTGTATTTTCAACTGGAACATGTAGAGGTGTGTGTGAACACAAATGCTGCTCTTGAAAAACATTCCTATTGTAATGGGCTTGTTTGGGACACCAGTCAAATAGAAAAGTATAATTTGTATCGCTAAACTGCACTTAATTATTCTTTCAAATTGATTGATGCAACTTTTATTGAACAAACAGTAAAAACGACAATCCTGATGATCTGGGTAGTTTTAGGGTTTCCTTTAAATGTCAATAATTGGAATTTGTCGTGACAATAGTAAATAAAAATTTTAAATTTATCGTGATAAACAAATGAGGTAAGTGCCCAACACCAATATGAAGATTATTCTACTTAAAATTTAACTTTGTTAGGTCAAAAATTAGATTATCAATAATTATTTTAGTTAGGGATGGACAATAAATCAATATTGTATATTATGATAGACTATCAATAGATAATATGTCTGATATTCAATAATTTCACTGAACTTTTAGATGCTCAACCTGTCATGGCTAACTACGCTTGTTTGGGATCAACTATCTCTCTCACTCTTTGGTTGCCTAGCAACTCCCTCTCATTCCTTGGTTACCTAGCAACAGCCTGTTGAGTAACTGCCGCAGCTGCAGTTAAAGGTCCCGCTAATGTTCTTAAAAATTAATAAACGACGACGAGGAGAGAAAACTGTGGATAAAACAGGAAATATCACGCCACCAATTTGACTGTATTTTAATATAAAGCAACAAAACTAATCAATAATTACATATTATTGACCAATGAGCTGTAATTTTAGGTGAGCTCCAATTCTGTTTTAACTTTCAAATCCTGGTTTACTGAGTTTTAATATCATATTTACGAGGTTTCTTGACAGGAACACGTCGGTCTCCATAGCAGATCCCATTCTGAACCAACTGCCTTGTTAACACATTTCTTAGCTTCAGGGGAAAATGCCAAGAGGTGTAATTTCAAACACTAAAGGCCATATGTTAAAGCAATGAGGCTGCCGTCTACACAGTCAGGTGTTTTTCTTCTTCTTCTTTTTTTTTCTCACCACCTGAGCTTCTGCTTTCTGTGGATTAACTCCTCGCCTCGCTCAGAGAAGCAGCCCGCTGAGAAGGCTGTTGTTTGGCTCCCTGGCAGACGCCTGGAGGCAGAGGTGAAGAGGGTTATTCTGGTGTGTTGTCCTTCTGTTAAGTGTCCCAGCTGATAACGTTGCACTATTCCAGTGCCAGATGTCACAACAAGCTTGTGGGGGTCACTGGCCGTGGCGTCGTTGCTGTCCTCACTCCAGAGACAAAGATGCAGTGTGCTGTTAGCCGAGTCATCCGGCCAGCTAACGGGCGAGGCGCGCCGTCTTGGAGCAGACTTCAGGAGACGTCCGGGAATACAGCGGAGCAGGAATTGTTTTGTTTCGACTAGAGATGCTTTTATTGATGGAGATGTTTGAACTTGGGCTGTAGCTAACAAATTTAGTGATAAATGATAATGTTGTTGTTTTTGAGACCTTTTTCACTGCAAACACACAAAATCTTACCAAGTATTTTTGGTCTAGTTTCTAGTGCAACTATATTAGTTTTGTCTTATTTCAAATGTACTAACTTACAAGTAAAAAGCTCTGGTTGCATTGGCAGATTATTTCACTTATGACATAGGAAAAATGTCTTGTTACAAGTTAAATAATTTGCCATTGGAACCAGTATTTTTCTCATTGATAAGAAATTATTGACTTAAAAGAAACTCTTATATCTTGCCAAAAAGTTAGTTTTGTCTTCTTTCAAGTGAATTAAGATATTTGTACTAGAAACTAGACCAAAAATACCTGGTAAGATTTTCCGTTTTTGCAGTGAATATAACAATAAAGGAAGAATACTTTCTCAAAGATGGATAAACTTTAAATTCTAATGACATTTTAAGTATCCAAAATAAATGAAACGACAAATATAATGAATTATGAAGTCTCCATAAATGTTCGGCTGACCCATCAGACTGAAAAGTTTTATCATCCAATTTTTGGTCGAAAGGGAGAAATGAGGAACACGATAAATCAGGGAAATGGAAATTATTGGGCTTGTTTTAATTTGCCATGTGATGAATTAACGGGCCTCGTCGTATCCAGGTCTAAGATACTTTACGGATAATGTGGGAGTTTAATTAGGAAATTGAAGGTTTTCCTGATTGATTTGCAGCAAACATTTTAAATCATGAAGTCCTGATGGGCATAAAAAACCATTTATTGTTTTAATTTCCTGTAGTGATCCTGAAACATTGGTCATCACTGGTTTGTGTTAATCCATCATATTTTTTTTGAGTATGGATATGCAAAACAGTCTTAAAGCTACAGTATGTAACTTTAGTAAAAGATTTTTTACATATTAACATTTTTTGTCATGACAGCATAAAATGGATAATCTGGAAAAAACAAAATGGCGGTACTGCAGCGCCAACTGCAGAAAAACACCAACCAATCAGAAACAACCAATCAGAGCCAAGAGGAGGGTGTTAGCCCTGTCAATCAAGCTGTTGTACGCTAAAAGTGCACTGACTTATCAACAAGCTGATTTATCTGCACAGATCTTTGATCGGCCGATACGTTCAGGTGAAGCCGATCTTATCCCACGATTTATTTAAGGTCTAAAAATCAGCCACTGTCTTCTGCTCTTCTTTGAGAGGTTTGACCGATACACCGACCCACCAGGTCATGTCTGCACATTTGCAGTTAGTCACTTTGTTGCCAAAATTAGTGACATTTCAGACCGAGAAAAAAAATGCTATTGATCAAAATCATACCTGGCAGGTCAGGCTTTTTAAAAGGTCGTTAATCGGCCAGAAGACTGGACCCGTAGCGCTGATCACACTCTCCTACCTTACGCTCTGCTACGATGCAACTTCTTCCCTGTCATGAATGCTAAGGCTAGTTAGCATAGCCACCAGTGACGACAGAAACAGTTTTCCTGTAATAAGTCGTTTCTCCACCTTTAGCTCATTCAGCATGATGACGCTGAAACCTTCCTCCTGGTTCTGATTGGTTGTTTTTGGCCTTGATTTTTCAGTTTTCTCTCGTTCCATTCTGTCACAACCTAGTGATGGTTTGAACAAATATGTAAAAGACTTGTTAGAAAAAGAAGCTGCATGCTGCAGCTATGACCACATTTTTTACGTTTTGAAATGTCGCTTGTGTCTAATTGATTAGCTGGAAGTCACGTCAAGCATTAGCCCAGTTTGGCAGGCAGCTGACCAAGTCAGGGTCTCGTCTGTCCGGCCTGATTGAGTTTCCATTTGGTTGTTTGGCGCTGCTTGTGCACTCCAGGAGCATGAATGGAGGGGGAAAGACGTGTCCTACATCCATCTGGTCGCTAATGAAATTGCTGGTGAAATTTCTCTGCCTGTCCCTCCTCGCCCGCCGGCCACATCGGCGCACCGGACGTCCGTTTGACGTGAGCCTGTCTGTAACTGTATCTGGACTCGGACGATGTGTCAAACCTCCGTCCTCTCTCTCTGCCGGAGGCGTGTAGTCAGGCAGGACTGCAGTGAATCTGGAGAAAAAGCTGAATTGCTCAGGTTTTCAGTTAAATTTAGACGTATAGAGGTTTACAGAAGCACCTAAGCCTCTCATTTG